TATATATATATATATATATATATATATACTTATTCATGGCATATTCATGGCAATATTACAGTGATTGCCACTGTGGTCTTTTCTTGGATCAATCATGTATATATTTTATTACCGGTTACATTAATGTTTGATTTTAAAATAAATATATATTTACTGCTTGTGGCATTTGTAGTTCTTTATTTCATGAACAGTTTTTCCCAGTGATGTCTGGTTTAATTGTAAATTCCTATTCCAGTCCAGTGGAGAATATACCTATAACTAGGAAAAGCATGAAGTTTGATTAGGTTTGTAGAAATTATCTGGTATCCTAAGTAAACCTTATTACTATATTTACTTATTGACTCAAGTGACTTTAATTAATTCTGTATCATTTTCATATGCGTAAGAAACATTTTCATAGGTGATTTCTCTATATTGATGTCTTCTAGATAAGTGGCCTCAAAGAAGGCACCAGTTATGTGTTCCGTGTACGAGCAGCAAATAAAGCTGGAGTTGGGAAACCATCAGATCTTACTGATCCTGTAACAGCAGAAACCCGACCAGGTTTGTTGATTTTGCTTGATAAAAATAAGAGTTTAAATATATATTAGAGTGATTGCCAACATAAAGATAAAGGTTCCCCTCATACATATGTGCTAGCCATTCCTGACTCTAGCACACAGAACACTATTACCTTCCCACCAAAGGTGGTTCCTATTTTACTACTTGCATTTTTACATGATTTCAAACTGCTAGGTTAGCAGAAACTGGGACAAATAATGGGAGCTCACTCCATTATGCGGCGCTAGGGATTCGAACCGCCAAACTGCCGACCTTTCTGATCGACAAGTCTTAGCTACTGAGCCACCACATTTCCTGATTGACAACATACAGTGGCACAAATTTAATTTAATTTATTATAGTTATTAAAAGAAAACTAACATGTTTCATATAAGTAGATTGTAACTACTATTTCCTTTCCTCTTCTAGATGAAGGCCTCATATTTGTCAATTCCTGGAATATATGCTGTATAAGCAAGCAAGCTTCAGAGGAATTGTAGAGTAATATAAAGGCCATTGACCTCCTATAGAAAGACCATATAAATAAGTTTCTTTTTGTATGGTTCTTTCAAGCAAAACAAAAGCAAAGATGATAGGGAGGAAACATAGATTACTTACCAGCTTTTCATAACATTGTCAATATTATGGAAACATAACCAAGGAATCTCTCTTTTGGAAACTGCTCCTTGAAGCATGACCTTTTGTAACTGACAGAAATTTTGTCAATGTGCAGATTTTCTAAGTGCCATCCAACATTTTTGTTATAACATCTAGTGTGCTAAAAACCACTAGGTTCCTCCTTGGTTTATGCCATAAACCAGTGGTTCCCAAAGTGGGCGGTACCACCCCCTGGGGAGCGGTGGGATGACTTGGGGGGCTAAGAGGCAAGTGGTGGCGGCAGGGGGGGCGCTAAGAGGCAAGGGATGTGGCAGAGGAGTGCTGGAGGTGTTCTGATGTACTGTCCTCCCGACTCGCCTAGCTTAGCGCGCAGGCATGGAAGGGAATGTGATAGGACTGAAAGCGAGAGTCCTTCCCCGCATGGCTTTTATGGAGGTGGCGGCTCAGTCTCGCCTCATCAGGAACCGGCGACACCGCGCCTTTGGTAAGGCTTGGGTCTCACGCACGCCTTCAATGGGTGGAAGGGCTGGGTTCTTCGTCGTGCGAGACTGGCAGTTA